ATATATATATATATATATATAAAGTTATTGAATTAACTAACTTGACATTCTTAATTATCTCTATTATAAATGGAATGATTTAAAGTTGTTATATAAAAATAATAATTTTGATAAAATACTACAATTATATTTTACAGGTATCTTTGAATCAAATTATCTAAAACAACAGAATTTAGATCATTCCACCATCAGTACAAAAATATCAATCAAAAAGTTCATGCTTTATCTTATACACCACAAAATAGAATTATCGGTAAAAAGTTCTGATTTTCGTATGAAGAATAAAATAGAAAGGATTTTGCAAAGGTCTCAAATCCAGATAACATAGTTTACATGAGATTGCTTAATATTTCTAAATTATGTATTTTCATGTACAAGTGTTTTTTAAATCTCTTTTATAACAATCGTATTACTATTTCTATTATAAATTTTATTTCTATTATCTCTATTATCAATTTTAAATCATCCTGCATACGAAACTTTGTCTTTTCCAGCAACGTTAGATTGAATTATTTCACTCTAAACAAGAAGACACATTATATGACAAATTATGAAAGAACAAGCATGATGATTATGATCATATGAAGATTCCGAAGAAATGATAATTATACCACCTATTTTACTTCCAACAGAGAGAATGTACGCAATTATTCTCCGCAAGATGACCTCCTGTAGTTAAATCTTTCTGAAGAGTTCGTCGAAGCAAATAAAGCGATGAATCGTCTGCCTTGAAGCTGTAGCAGTCTGTCAATTATTTATATTTTTATCTTTTGCAAAATGTTAGCATTTGAATCGTTGATTCTTTTTACAAGGAAAAATAATCTGCTTGCAAAAGAGAGAAGTTGAATAAGTACTGGCTGTGATGGTCTAGGAAGATACAAAACAAAAGATCTTTACGCGTAATCATTGAAACAATCTAAATCGCAAAAAGAATCATTTCATTACTTCCACAACAAGTAGTTTCTCTGTGGCGTTACTCATCATCACGCGAAAGGAAGTTTTTTTCATTACGAATGTAGAAACATCGTCAAGTGCCATCAATCTTCTTTTTCACTTGATACAATCATCATAAATAAAATGGGAGTAACGTCACGAGTAAAAAATATGAGCATAATTACAAAGCGTAGAAGCAGACGACATAATGCATATTGTCACTTACCTGTGACTGCACGACTGTTGTACGACTTCCTCTCCATCAGACATGTATATTACCGATTAGTTTGGATCATGCAGCGGATAGTAGAGCAATGTGACCCCAATATGTGGATAACATTATGAAATAAAAGTAAACGATCATGCGAACGAGATATATATATATATATATACATGTATATATATATATATATATATATATATATATAATAAAGTCATCGTATTCTCGTCCAAAGGATTCTTCCGGTTGTTGGGGCAACTTGGAATCGCCATAATAACGGAACTAGAGAATCTAGCATAAGGGACTTTGCATGGCACATACACGAAGTGCAGAAGTAACTCGAAGTAAATGGCAGTACATTTTATTATAAAAAATTATTCTGTGTGAAATCCCTAATATTTTACAATGAATAGTAATCTACTCGATGATCGTACGCTAAAGTTACGTTTACGAGAATTGGTCCAATCTTACGCGGCGCACATACAAGAAGACTCCGCAATTAATAATAACGAACGCTTCTCACCGAATTACTAATAACTAAAGCGTGAATGGGCTCTACGTGATCATAATACGATCTAAAATAACCGGGTAAAACTTAACGAGGTCTAAATTGACAATCCGCCGATGATTGTATCAGAGAATCAAATCGATTCCTTGCTTACACCGTGATAGACTCAGTTGCATGCATTATGCGTTACAAAACTTTACAGATATCTTGCATTAAAAACGTATGTGTAATACCACAATATTTGATTCAGCGCGAGACGATTGGTATATCAAAATTGTTTTTCTTGTCTATTTTTTTCTCTTTCATACAGTTTCGATATATATAAATAATAAATTAATATATATATTTTAACGTAAGGAAATAATATATAATAACGCTAGAAACACAAACCGTTTTCATAATAATGACGTTAATATAATATTACATTCAAGCCTACCGCCAGCAGGTACACAATACATTTTAACAAGATGTATAACGATAGTGAATGGTTTTTCGAGTCCGCTGTTTAGTGCATACTACTTTCCTCGATCATTGTATATTGCTTTTTCTTGTGTTCCTTATTGTGAACGCTTAAAGCTCTCTCTCTCTCTCTCTCTCTCTCTCTCTCTCTCTCATCTCTGGTGTATACATATATATATTTAAAGATTTAACATCATGTGTGTGTATCTTTTCTTCCAAATAAGTAAATCATAGAGCTGTTTTGTTCTCTGTAAAATAATCATTCGTTTGTCACAATATTTGAAGACGTAGAAGTGTGATAGTAAACGTTTAAAAATAGATCTTGTAATTGTTGAATAATAATGAGATGAAATAAACAATTTAATATGCAATTTAAAATAAATTGTAATTTATCGATCATTAACGACTATGTCGTTAATAATCGAACTAACGAAGTACCATTAATTAACAGTATACTTTAAATATAATAATAAAAATTTTTATATAATTTTATATAATCAAAATTGTTTAGTAGTATGCACAAGTAATATCGATTTCATCGCTTAATCATTCCCAATTGCCGAAAGAAAAAAATGCTTTTAAATATCGTGCTTATCCGTTTTTGCAATCTATCGAGCAGGTGAAAATTACAAATGCAACTTTAGTAGTGTGATTATATTCAAAGTTTTACTCGTGGAATCCATTCTATTTTGTAGAATTTTGTTTGTGTTTCGTATATGTTGATTTATGTATAAGCCACATGTAATTATTTATGAACTGTTATGTTACTGTATAATCTTATGCATAAAAATAATATACACAAAGATTTGTCACAGGCATAAAAATCGTCTGTATGCATATACTTAAAAAAAAAAAAAAAAAGCGCTTTTAAAATACGCATATGCACATGCATTATAAAATTTGTGAATTGAAGAATTTTTCGAAATAAGTAAATGTGTAATCCACTTTGTAATTGGATGTGAAACGATACTGCCTAATACATTTCTCTCCGCCGGTAGATTAACGCATTATAGTAAGCATATATCTAAATCCTGGAGATCAAATCAAGGAGAACTCCTTATCGAACCTGAATCTCTATTGGCTCAGCGTATGTTAAACAGAATCGTTCGGAAGCTATGATTGCGTATGCATAATTATAAATAATAGCAAAAGTGGGCCATACTATAAGGCGTCGGTTCATAGTTTTGGTAAAATGCAAGAAAAGCGAGTCTTACCTGAGAGCCCCGTGTAATTGATGAAATTTATAATTATACGAAATAGACGATCTCAAAACGTATTACTTGCGCGATAGATAAGATTAATCGTTCGCCTAATGATTGAGCGATCACTCCATCAAACTCGTCCGTAATTTTGCAAACACATAAAAAAAAGGGAAAAGACAACGAACTTTGTAGAAACATATAGCCATATCTTTGCAACTTGATGCTCTCTTGGTCCCGGAAGAAGAGCGATGCAAGCAGTTTCATTAATATACAATAATTCATATACTTTATATTGTTCACTAATATGTTACATGCCTAAAATTATACGTATCGCGTACCTGCCACGAGGTACGGCATACAATCGTGATGACGGTCATACGAAATGACATGACACGGGGTACACGACCATAGAAGATAAACTGTGAGGTTTCATGTGAAATGTATGAGGCATTCTCGAGAATGAGGCATACTCTCTGCGATGAGAGAGGGATGTTGTTATACATAGAAACACATTTAATAATGAAGGTGGATGCTATTCCTATTCGGATACCTCGGTATCGGGGTCGAGATCCCGCGTGGGGGTCGATGCATTACTAGCAGACGCCGAATGCGCCCCGGGTCTGTGAGTTCTTCGCGGGTCGAACGGATCTACGACGATCTGCTCGGTGCCTTTAATCTCAGCTCGACAAAACGGACAACCTTGTCCTTCGGAATCCTGCAAGTAATCGATCAGGTACAACGTTAACGTTTAATAATATTTAATAATATTTATATATGTATCTCTCTGCTATCGTAATGAAATAATGTAAGATATTTTATCGCAATTATATGTATATCTAGGTCTAAAGTTGAATCGAACTCTAAACTATACGAAAACATTTATTGATCGCTGAGAAAGCAATAAGACTTAAGAGAATTATATACTGCTACCTGCCAAGCTGTAAGACATGGAGTACAGAGAAGATGACCGCAAGGTTCTATCCTTACATCCTTATCATGCTCGGCGCAGATTTTGCACAACTGAAATGTGCTACCCATTTCGCAATATAATTCATATTGTTCTGCCGTCACTTTGATATGTTCCTCTGGCGTTGGTTGCACCGCCCACGTCAAGTCCGGATTTATATTTCGACCGTCTGGGTATAAGTAGCTGCAAATCGATCTTCGAATATGTATTTGTGAAATCTTTATGGATGTGCATCTGAACAGATAAACGCATAAACTAGGTCGGTACTCAACGGTATACTCACAAGCCTTCCCGGTAGCCGTCCAATAACGCTTGGCATAGACTCTTGTTGTGTGGTATAGTTTGTAGAATATCACCATCAGACGTAACGTAACCAATTGCCCATTGTCCCAGCCTCGTACAACTTAACCGAAATACATAGCTCCCAGGCTTGGTAATGCAATATTTTTGCAAACGGGCTTTCACCTCGTCGTACGTAAGGAAAGCCACGTAGCCAGGATGTGTCACAGCCAGAATTTTCCAGTTGCGCAGAAGAGTCGACCACGGTTGAAACAGCCTTGAAAGTCGTATAACATGTATATAGTATTTATTTTATTAGTATACATCCGAGATGTACAAGCATGATCCAGCAGAATTATCGTGAAGCTTGATAACGGAGAAGCTTGGTAAAATTAATTAATTATTTATAATTTCTTAATACTTACCTTGTGAATACGTCGAATTCAAAGTTGGAGATATAATCATTGCACGTCAAATCTATCGTGGATTTCAGGGCCATTGCTTGCAATCCTGTGCTTATCGGATGAACCTGATTCAATTCGTGTCTGAACACCTTCCACGGTACTAATGTACTGAAAAGAAATTAATGAAAAATTATTTCTTCCCTTTCTTTTTATATTATAGATACGAGTTAAATCATCTACATGAATAATGTTTAAATGTTAAAAATCTTAGCAATGTGTATTACATTCTAGTCCAAATTGGTTTTTACGTATATACTAAGTTGCTGCTAAAAGTTTGTCATACTCGTTAAAAACAAAATAAGAAATAAAATTTAACAAAATTAGAGTAATTAATACCACGAGTTGTGAAACGTTTATGTATTATATTTTTCACAATAAATTTTTTACAATTTAAAATGCTAGTAGCATCAAATTACCGATCTGATTATTTATAGAGGCATGATTAATATTTTAAATTGATTGTACTGAAAATTGAAAGTAATCAGCGCGTAATCATATTTTTGAGAAAAAATTACTTAAAATACATTATATACGTATATGTATTAGTTTAATATCTAACTTAAGCTGTAATTGATACTTCTTGTACTTAGTAGATGAAAATTTGTATATATTTTTTGTATAAAAATCAATATTATACTCATTATTAAACGCAATTTAATATTTATACTTAATAATACAATTTTATAGTTTAAAATGAAAATTGTTCTATTTTATTTTAATTATTTTTTAGAAACTACTTTTTATTGAAATAATTTTTTATTTAGGTTTCAAATCTTTGTCAAACTACATTCACAAATACAATATAGAAAAATCTAAGTTTTTTCACAATTTTTCATAATTTTTTTTATAATTTTGGTAAAAAACATGTAATGTATCTACAGTCAAAACGATTGAGAATTAATAATATATTTAATCGAACATAGAGAATTACGATTTTTTTATCATTTAATATCAGAAAAAGATTAGATTAAGATTTTTAAAACTATTTACGATAAGCTTCGATCGATTCGTTGAATTTTTAATTGTTTGATACACAAAAGATTGGAAATTATGTAAGTAGAGAATTTTCTATGAGTAATTGCGCAATTTAATTAATCATCAAATTAATTAGAGTTGATCAAATTAATCGAAACTTGATAAAGATCAATCTTAGATGCGAAGAATTTAATAATTTCAAGAGGCTCATAGATTATATAATACAATGCTGCAATAATAGAAATGAGTATCGGAATTTGGTCATAAGTCCCAAGGTTTTGAAATGCCTCGATCCACCACTGATATCCAGGTAGTGACGCACATGCGCGTTAAAAACCGCTCGTGTCCCTGACTCGACATAACTATCAGTACGAAATAGCGACTCCTAGTGATCAGTTCGTGTGACATCCTTAGTATTCGTTCAATTCGTTTTTACGTTTCTCAGCGGTAAGGGATAACTCGATCCGTCTTCGCACGGTGTGCGAAATTTCATCGGTGCGGTATTTCGATAATCATCTGAAAATCTCGAAGAAATATCGTCGAGACATCAGGCGTAAAGTTAGGCGTAGATTCTTCGCTAGGAGTGCTCGCCGCTCGATCATCTTCGCGAGGTTGAACCGGCACACGATAGATGGCCACCGATCGCGCAATTCTTTAGTGTTCCTATAATAAAAGTTCGAACAATGTGGTCACAACTTTTGATTGATTATCGAAATCTACCATAATAATAACTAACTGCGAGTTTTAAGTTGCAGAAATTATTGTATTTTATATAATCAGCTAATATATGAATAAACAGAAGGCCAGATACTTCACACACGCGTGTTTTATTTTCTAACTGGTCTATATATTCTCTACAGTAGTAGTCAACTTACACGTAACAAAATCAACGTAAATGTGGCTGTTAATAGCAGCGATTTGTCCTAACTTTTATTATAGGAACACTAGAATTCTGTAGAAAGAACTTAAAATTCTGCACGTCGATACTTACAATTACATATTCGAATCACAGTTAGGGATGGATGATGTTGAAAGAATAAATTCATTCAAATAATCAAAGTATACAGGTTCTAAGTACATAATTGATTAATTTTTAACTGACAAAGTGTAAAGGTGACTCTGACCACGTTTTATTTTGTTAATTTAATTGTAATGAGTATAGCTCATCAGTGTTTATAGCAAATCTTTAATTAATATATTGTATTTCGTAATTTTTAATTTATTTTCTCGTTTTATGCTAAATTAAGTAAAAAACTAGCAATTCTACCCTTATTAACAACAATATGTTAGTATTTTTTTATTAATTAACTCGATTAGATTAATCGCAATTTGAATTTCTCTCACCCTAAAAGTTTAAATATAATTTTTAAATATTTTTTTTAATTTAAAAAATCCAGCCATATATCCCTGAGTTTTTTTTACTAAATATTATACATACATATCAATAAAAGAGACAAAAATTCTTTATTTGAATCAAAATAGAATATATATAGATAGTTATAGAAATCTTCATTATAAATTCAGTAGATGACAAATGTTCAATGTTTTATCGCCAATTTATTCCTATTATCTTATTTTACACAGAGGAATTGCACAGTCATCTTATTTTAATGGTAATTTATACGTCCGAACATAATTGTGCTTTTTACGATTTATATGTATACTACGACGATTATACAACGCAATTTTTTTCCAAACCCGCTCATTACGTTATACGAATTATTTAGCCTAATTGTTTGATAAAATCGTTTTTATTAGAACCAACCACTTTTGTTACAATTACATACAATTCATTACGTTGAATGTATCTATTATTAGTATATACTATATACACACAGAGATACGAATCCTTTATTTTATTTATCTTTTCTTAATTCTTATCTTCTCTAATTACATGTTTACCAATTAAAAAAATCTTATAGTTTGTATAATTAATTCTTGTATATGTTTACGTACGTTGAATAACAACCGTTCTGAATATAAAATATCAAAGTCCAAAATAACATAATTATGTTATCTGATTTAATAAAAGCAACGTCTCTTCAATTATTTACACAAGTTTTTCTAACTGTATTAATTCTCAACACTTAAATTATAAAAATTGAATTATTTCTGACAAAGAATTTCCATTTTATGATTTCAAATAATTAACAACAATGAAATTCAAGAACACTTACAGCGATTTACATCAAATTAATTTTATCTAATATATTCACATATTTCCCAAGTTTTGTTATTTTTGCATTGAAAATGATCGGATCGGTGTCGAAACGTCTGTATATGTATTCCTCATTTGCATATTAAATGTTATTATCTATACATTAATGATATCTTCGTATCTTTATTAATTAAATAATTAAATATATAAATTCATGTAAACACCATCAATTATAATTCTTCCTATATTTTTCCCTAGGAGAGAACTGAACAATTGTGAGAAAACTGTAAGTTGCGAAATAAAGTTCTCGAATTCTTTTTGTTAAAGGGGGATTGAATTGAATTGTAATACTCTATTCATTCCCCTTACCCTTTACTGTATCGGCAATTTTAAGAGCGGGGGCTCAGACACACCAGAAATGCGCATTATCAAATTCATCGTACCCGCCGGATTCGTATATTTAAGCCGAAATTTCGCAGGCACGTATTTTGATAACTGCTCTTCCCTTCCCTACAAACAACTAACGACAAACATTAATTTGACGATTATGTAATAAATATAATTACTATCGAAACGATCTTTTTGTAAAAATTATTAGAATTGAATTTGAGAGAAATGGAAAATTACGAAAGATTTTCAATGATATATAATATTTCATTGAATTCGATAATCGCCTCAATTACGCTAATTCGTAATAGAATAGCTTGGAGTGCGCGATCTCGATACATTTCATCTTGATTACATATAGTACACGTAATCCTGAAATTAAGAATATTCTAAAATTCTATTTTATTTCATCAGATATCGCTTTATTGCACTGATTTGTACCTTCGTGATGCTTTAACGTGAAAAAAAATTGTGACCATCGATAGCAAGTTTTAGTCGTTTTCGACAGCTCATAAATTAAGCATCTAAAAGCATGATCATTATTACTTTATCAACATATTTTTTAATTTATTAACACGAATACAAGTCACATTTCAATGTGATGTCCCTTAAAATATCGAACGTTTTCTTCTGTAAAAATTATGTTTCAATGTATAATAATTATTCGCTCTAGTTTTTACCTAGAGAAAAACTAAACATGAAGTATTTGCTATCCTTGTTTCAATGAAGGCAACTTCCGATTAATGTAGATATAGAAAATAAATTAATATCAGAATGTGAAAACACTAAAAATATACAGTAATTAACATCTTCAAAATAAATTATTTGTCATTCGCGAAGCGCAATGTCGATATCTGTCTGCCACGTTGAAAACTTTCAATGTTCCCGATTGCAGTTGTAACAGCGATGAGCGGAAACAAGGATTATAAATCGGCCACGTCGATTTACGACTTCACGGCGAACTCCATCAGAGGAGAGGAAATCCCTTTGTCTAAGTAAGCATAATCTGACTGTGTCGCGTAAAGTCATATTGTGAAAAAGATGTAATATCATCTCTTTATATAGATATAAAGACCACGTGTGCTTAATCGTAAACGTCGCCTCGAAATGCGGCCTCACAGCGACGAATTACAAAGAACTGAACGAACTATACGACGAGTATGCTGAATCGAAAGGTAAATCCTCACATTACGGAGAAATTTAAAGCTATTTTCTACTACAGAAGTAACAGTATATTAAAGTATTATTTTCATTATTCGACAGGATTACGAATTCTAGCGTTTCCTTGTAATCAATTCAATGGTCAAGAGCCAGGGAATAGCGAGGAGATTTGCAGCTTTGCCGATCGCCAGAAAGTAATTTTTCCTTTTATTCATAACCTTTTGCGATTTGAGTGAAAAAATAGTGTTTTACTCTATTTGACTGAAAAAACTTGACATTACAAAATTTGCTATATTACGTAAAGAGCAACGTTGATAAAGTTCATATACTCAGTACTGGTTGTTTCACCTTCGAATAAATTACGTGATAATTTATCTAATGGATGAAAGAGAAAAAGAACGAGAGAGAGAGAGAGAGAGAGAGAGAGAGAGAGAGAGAGAGAGAGAGAGAGTGTGTGTGTGTGTATAAACAGAGATTTATCGAAAGATGGAACAACCTAGCATCAGAGAAAAAGACAATATAAGACGTAACTATGTAATACAGGTTTTATATGTAAAATTACATATGTACAGAATTGAATCAACTTTGTATTTTATAGTTATCATGAAGCTGAATGATTCCCAACACTTCAATATACATAAATTCTACATATAAAACTTATACAGTTGTTATTTACACAGTTAACATTATAAGACAGGTTTTTTCTTTGAATGTATTGAAAAAAACCATCACCTGCTTTTCTGATGAATAAAACATTCATATATCCGCTACTTTCCAGGTAAAATTCGATTTATTTGAGAAAATTGACGTGAACGGAAATAACACGCATCCTCTTTGGGCATATCTGAAGAAAGAGCAAGGTGGCTTACTGGGTAACTTCATTAAATGGAACTTCACCAAATTCATCGTGAATAAAGAGGGCAAGGTTGTCGAACGACACGGTCCTAATGTAGATCCCCACAAATTAAAAGATTCTTTCGAAAAATATTTTTAAATGGTCTCTACATAATTTTCTAAGATGGATATTTTTCTTGTAGTATACATAAATTAAATAAGAGTTTAAAATCTATGTACTATGTTTGAACAATCTTTTATTTTTTGCGACATCTTTGCATATATATAAAAACTTATTTTTTTTTTTCTTACATACTATGTTACAATAAACTATTTTTAAATTCTTTCTCGACATAGATATGTTTATTTCATAATATGTAATTATGATTTGTTTAAGTAACTAAGAAGTCACTGTTACACGTATTTGTACATTCCTCATCTTTATACATATCCACAAGTTTGATTTAAAATAAATTCATAAGCTATCAACTTTGCTTTTATACATATTACTTAATAATATACGATACATTTGGTTTGTTTCGCGTTTTTTTTTACATAATTATTACGTAATTATTAAATTACATAATAATTAGTATTAATACGTAATAAATAATTATCTAATTTACACCTGCAAAATTATCATTTCGACATGTATATGTCATGTTTGACATTTATTTATATAAAGGCACTAACAATAAGACATACAATTACGTTGAAACTAAAAATATCTTATTGTAACATATACGGACTACTTTACTATATGTGATGTAAGAAAATAAATATTATAAAAATACGTAATGAGTCGACATACTTATTAAAAATCCCAAACGCAAGCTTTTGCAAATGACAAGCAATATTTAAAAAAATAAAACTGTTGAAATGTTAATTACGTTTATAACCAACAAAGGAAAGCAAAGCTTTCCAATACTAAATTATGTTTTATTGGCACGTAACAATCGGTGGCTCATTCGCATTGCTTTCGGCTTTGCAATCTTGTATAACCTGGAAATTGTGTGTTGTGCGTCAAAGAGTCAAAATCGATATTTCATTCCGACTTCAGTTGAGAGGTGCACGCTTGAGAAACGCGGAATTGCTGTTAATTAATTCAGGAACTGGCGCGTCTCGTGGGACGGCACATATAGTATAGTCGATACATTTGTCCTAACTATCAACAATAGCAACGCCGACGTAAATGAATGTAATTTCACTTGCGCATATAAACACCCACTCTACTTTCGCGATAGTTAGCTATCAACGGTCACTTTCACGCGGCGTTCACGCTTGCTCGTCGGCGACCTTGCCTGTTTACGGTGTCACTGGCAACACTATACTTTTAGCTTAATTGCGCCTTTTCAAGCGATCCCACGTGATGCGCACAACGGTCGTCGAAACGCGCGGGACAATTTATCGTTTAGATTATTCTGCAAGATATAAGCAACATTTTCTTTCAATTCCTTCATTTTCGTGTCCTAAATTCGAATACGATTTATTTATTGGTCCCTTCTGTCGAGCATAAGAAATAATTCGATACTCTGTGGATCTTGATTTATTGAACCAATTTGTGAGATTCGACTTATCTCTTATCTGTTGGAAACGTCAGAGCAATAATGATCCCTATAAAAAGTGAAAGTTTTCCCTCAGGAGAGGATTCTCGATTAAATAGCCAAATCCAATCTACCTTCGCAATCACGTAGGATAATTCGAAATCTCGAAACATTAATTTCACTATTTATCAGCGATATATCGAAGTCATTAAAAATTAAGATCGAACGTTCCAGAGGGAGGAACTCGCGCGTATATCACAATCGTGTTCGATTTATCTGTCGAGTTAAACCGGGATAAAAATTTTATACCCATGAGATGGTATTTGTAATTATAATAAAACAAATGAAAAAATTACGAGATTTGTGTTTTCCTCGAGTGTTGATTACAGATGCATGTAAATTTTTTTGTCCAAAAATGACTGAGTTCTAAATATTCGTTTGTTGACAACTTAAAATTCTTACACATCGATATAGTTCCATTTCGAGAATGTTTCCATTTAAGTTTAACATTTCGAATCCGCAACCGCGAATGCAATCTCTCGCCCTTTCTTTTCCTTTTTCTCACGATACCGTATTCTGATTATTGAGTTTCATGAGGTCACATAAATAACATAGATACGAAAAGGTTCTGAGCATTTATGGGGAATCCAGGTAAACCCAATATGCCATCGAGGAGACCTTTGAAGGTTGAGAAACTATAGCTAAGACTAGACTACCACCGAGCCCACATATGTGGGGCGAGGTATATATAAAGCGCCGCAGATTTCTCTCTCTCTCTCTCTCTCTCTCTCTCTCTCTCTCTCGCAGCATCGATTTTAGAAAAAAAAAGATAGTTTAAGTAAAAGTTATAGGGTAGGTAGGTACCAAGAGGGACATTTATAGGCTGCGCTAGTTTTATATAAATAAATGACGCCACGGAGAGCTTACGTCATTTCTCAGGACTGTCAATGACAAGCGTTCTCTCTCTAACTATGAATAAAAAGGTATACTGAATTATCCTCCCTCGAGTCTCAGCTGCTTTGCTACACAATGACGCAATTAAATGTAGACAGAAAACAAAAGACACATTTTATATTCATAGTGCAGAAAATCTATCTTAATTCCTAACTATCATAGTCATCCCAAATGAAGAAATAAAAGCTTCCATATTTGAGATATTAGATATAGAACCTTCTTGCAAAAAAAGATTAATATCTGAGATGGTTCATATATAAAAAAACAAAAACATGGAATAAATAGACAACACGACACGGAGTGACTGCCCGAAATCTATTCCAACATGATACATTCCCTCCCGGTCCTAATTTTCCCCTCCTATATTCTCTGCTACCAGAGAGCATTACGTTTTCCTTCTTCATATTACGTTATCTGACATCATTTATATCAGATGTCCGCTAATCCTCCAAATTGGCTGTGATTTTAAATTTTAACGAAACTTATGTGTACAAAGATGGATACCATCTCTCTCTTTTTAATAACTTATACGCTCAACACTTATTTCTACTGTTAACTAATAAGGTGTATATTTTTATCGATATATATATTATTAGCTCTTATTTACTAAGCATTGAATTTCTTTTGTCTACTAGAATTTTAAATTTTAACGAAACTTATGTGTACAACGGTGGATACTATCTCTCTTTTCTACTTTTACTTAATTGACGCAACATGCATATAACGAAGAATAGATACAGTAACAGATAACGAATTTTGTATTATTATCAACGTACTATATATTATAACGATTGTATTTTATAATTTGTAACATTGAGAATTATCCGATCGGAGTCGAAACGTATGTTTTTTGTCATTTTATACTATAATATTATTCTTTAAATTAAAGTGGTTATTACATTACTTTGCCCTTATTTTTTATTTATATTGTTTTATATTTTTACACAGAGCCTTATTATTATATTAATTCCATATTTCTGTTGAAAGTCAAGTCTTACTTTCGGTAATCGTGACAGAATAAAATGGAAAACGATGTCGAGAAAATGACGTCGGTTTATTCTTGACATCGTTTTCCAGATTATTATCATGATTATTACCGAAAGCAAGGTTGAACTCTAAAAGTAGAGCAATAAAGAAAAATTGCTGAAGAAAAGCGAAGGGCGTCCTATTAACTTAAACTCTATTTAACGCACTCGCTTCTCAACTGAAATCGTGTCGCGCGAAGGACGTAAGAGACCGATCGATAGCGATGACGTAAAAGAGCCCCTGAATTGTCATTTATCGTCGGCCCTTAAGGGCTAACGTTGACGTTGTCAACATCAACGAAGCATTATGCAGAGGTGGCACCAGGTTCCATGAATGTGTGTCACCTATATCGTGTCGATATCGGTGCGAACCGCGGTTATCAGCAAAGTTCAGCAGTCAAAGGCGTCTAATTTCAACTTTAACCCTTTTCCACCCACGCTAGCGTGTATGAGTCCTCCCCTCGTTCCTCTCTTTCCGCGAACGGTTGCATCCTTCTCTCGCGTAAGATCCAGATGCAATTACGCAATGCGCGCAGTAAAAATACATCCGCGGAAAATGTCACTGGAACGATTGGAATTAAACGTTTCAAGGATGCTATGTTCGTTCAAAAGGTTCTGCATGCTCGCGTGAACCTCTGATATGAGAACAGTCCCCCGCTCTTCCTCCTCCGTCTTCGTCTCTTTCGTAACGACAACAACGTCCCCCGTTTAGAAGCTGCGTTATCGGCGTATCCGATTGAACGCATTTTCCTCAGGATATTTCCGGTCTCACATTTTTTCGATCATTGTATAGTATAAATGTCGTTGCTCTAACGATTCTAAATCTCCTTATACGGAAAACAATAAACAAAAGTCGTCTCGGGATAATCTATGTATTTGTGATGATAGGGAGGAAGGAAAAGAATTTACATGAAAACGACTTTAAGTCAGTAAGGCCCGATTGCACCAACGTGATTTCGATTTAAGCAAGACTTAAACTGTCTCTGTCTCTCTTTCGGCTTTAATACGAGACAGATAGTATAATAATATAGAGTTTTAAACTCGCTTAAAATTAAGTGATAATGGTACGTCTGTGAAGCTGGCCCCTCATTGTCAAAATTTTGAAAAACTAAGCAGAGTTCTGGTTGCCCCTCAAAGAGTTCTACTGATTAAAGCGAAAACACCATTTGAAATTATCGATTGTTAAGGATAATCGTTAGAACTCTTCGGGCGGCTACTAGAACTCCTATCAGATTACCAAATTTCCATGAAAAAAAAAATAATTCTTTTTACTAAATTTTTCGGAAAAAAATTTTGGAAATTCATTATTTTCTCGAGAGTTCTGATAGCCCCCCGAAGAGTTCTAACGATAATCCTTAATAACTGTTGCTGTAAAATCAATATCTGAAAAGTTCTGGGACCTTAAAGTTTCGATATTTTTACAACTTCTCGGAGCTATAACTCCTTTGTTTGCGGTTTTAGCGCAATGATTATTAAGGATAATCGTTAGAACTCTTTGGGGGGCTACCAGAACTCTGAAGAAAACACAGGATTTCCGAGAAAAATATTTTTCGTCTGTGGACTTGGAAAAATTAATAATCTGTAACTTCAAAGTAATATATCTTTCTAAATATTGATTTTAGAGCATTGGTTGTTAAGGATAATCGTTAGAACTCTTCGGGGGGCTACTAGAACTCGTATCAGATTGCCGAATTTCTTAAAAAAAAAAAAAAATTTTTTTTTCATAAAAAATTTTTTTGCAAA